GAGAGAGAGAGAGAGAGAGGTGCGCACGCCGTGGAGTGGAGGGAGGACCCCTCCCCCACCAACCAATCAATCAATCAATCAATCAACCAATCAATCAATCAATCAATCAATCAATCAATAAAAAAACAGTCAATCAATGATTTTTTTTTTGTTTTCTATTTATTTATTTATTTATGGTAGTCTTCGAAATCCACCCCCCCGTTTTCGAAGTTTTTACGTTTTCTTTTTTGCGAGGAGGTAGGCCCCCCCCCCCCAACTCGAGACCCGTTCCCCGCCCCCCAACCCCCCTCCCCGATTCGCTGCGGCATCGGCCGAAAGTTCTCGCCTGGGGGGGGCCACCCCTAGGCCGCCGGCCGCGGCCTGGGCCGAACCAGGCCGCGGCCACCGTGCAACATAGGATGAGGTCGACAACAACTGGGGGATTGCCAACCTCTTATTGGCTGATGACCTGTTTTAACATGGATGGAGAAGTTAGATGGTGTCTGTTGTATGTGGTGGGACCTGTCTTAACACTGGATGTCTGAGGTCGTAGGTTCGAGTCTAGTTGCGAAAGGTCGAAGGCCACTTTGTAGGCCAGTTCATGATATTTGTGGAACTGCAAATCATAGGTTTGAGACCGGACGTGATAGTCTCCTTTGAAGTTGAAGTTGTACACAGGGTCTCATTACCTGATTTTTAGAATAATTGTTTTTTCAGAATGATGAGCACGAGTTGTAACCGTTTGAATTGTTGTATGGGACAAACAAAAATAGGTGGTCTGTGGAACATGGTTTGTTGGGTCTCAGGTTGACATTTCTTTAAGTAGCCAGCTAAGGTTACATGTTTGAAATGCTTGAGGAATGGGTAGTCTGTCTAATATGAGTCAAGACTCAAGACGGGATTTTACGAGGTGCTAACGAAGGAGTCGTTATCGTTGATCTCAATCGACGTTCTAGTCACTATTTGCCTGTTAGGTAGGGTATAAATAGAACTATGAACGCTGAGTTTGACATCTTCCGCGACCTAAGACAACCGAAAATTAGTCGGGGCCATACCGACTGGTTATCATATTTTTACATTCATCAAGAAGTCACGTTCGGGAGACTTACGTTTGTTTTCTACATTGCGTAACATTTTCTCTCCTTTTGCTTCTTCCCATTCTCTTCTACTTCTTTTCTACCTATGCTTTGGGTGTTTGTTGGAATGTATGTCTGATCCTTTGTTGTGTCCATCTGCGTGAGTCTCGAGAACTTCATTGGTGGTACAGGCCTGATGATAACTGACCGT